TTAAAAAATTAGAGCAGCCGATCACTGTTGAAGAACTGTCTAACGCTGTCAAATCCCTTCAATCTGGGAGAAGCCCAGGGCCTGATGGCTACTCGACAGAGTTTTATAAAAAGTTTATCTCCAAAATAGCCCCTATTCTAATTGAAATGTACAATGATGCATTTGTAAATGGTGCTCTCCCACATACTCTCACTCAAGCAACCATTTGTGTTATTCTTAAAAAAAACAAAGACCCTCTTGACTGTGCATCATACCGTCCAATTAGCCTGCTAAATGTGGACTATAAAATTCTAGCCAAAATTCTGGCAACGCGGCTAGAAACAGTCCTCCCATCAATTATCTCTCCGGATCAAACAGGATTTATAAAAAATAGACACTCATTCTTCAATCTCCGAAGATTATTTAATATTATATACAATCCTTCTGTCGACAATACCTCTGAAGCCATTATATCCCTGGACGCGGAGAAAGCGTTTGATCGGGTGGAATGGAAATACCTTTTTTACACTCTAAATAAATTTGGCTTTGGCTCCAAATTCATGACCTGGATAAAACTTCTGTACTCATCCCCCCAAGCCTCTGTCAGGACTAATAACACTCAATCAGATTGCTTCCCTTTGCAAAGATCGACACGTCAGGGTTGCCCTTTAAGTCCCTTACTGTTTGCCCTCGCCATAGAGCCACTTGCAATAGCACTTCGCTCCAACCCCCTCATCAAAGGCATAGTCAGATACGGACACGAACACAAACTGTCTTTATATGCAGATGATTTATTAATATACACATCCAATCTTTCTGTCTCTGTCCCTGCTGCCCTTGCTACTTTCGCATCCTTCGGTCACTTATCAGGGTATAAACTAAATCTCAGTAAAAGTGAATTGATGCCACTTAACATGGCTGCAAAAAAATCCCCTTTACATAACTTGCCATTTAAAATAGCTCACAGTAGTTTTATTTATCTCGGGGTACATGTCACAATTAGGTTTGAAAACCTTTTTCAAGCCAACTTTGCTCCTCTCTTAACCCGTACTAAGGACGATTTGGAACGGTGGTCTTTGCTACACCTCTCCTTAGTTGCTAGAATTAACTCTATTAAAATGAATACTCTCCCTAAATTCTTATACCTCTATCAGTGCCTTCCAATATTTCTACCCAATACATTTTTCAAAAAGATCGACGGCCTAATTCTACCCTTTATATGGGACAAAAAGCCTCCTAGGATGCGAAAACAGCTCTTGCAGAGGCCCAAACCAGACGGCGGTCTAGCTCTACCAGATTTCAGATTCTATTATTGGGCCGCTAACCTTAGGATCATTCAGTACTGGTTGCAGAGCAGAGTGATATTCCCACCCCCAACTTGGCTGGAGATGGAGGCTGCCTCGTCTACACCGGCATCATTGTCTTCCCTCGCTCACTCCTCTGTTACAGGCCCTTACTCCTCCTTCACCAATAATATATGTGTCAAAACAACATTGAAGATCTGGAATCAATTTAGGCGCCACTTTGGGTTTCAAACAACCTCTTCCTTGGCTCCGGTAGCCTCAAACCCAGCTTTTCCCCCATCTATGATTGATGGTGCTTTCTCAACATGGTCTAATCTCGGTATTAAAAGATTCAGAGATCTGTATACTAACAATACATTTAGTACGTTTCAACAATTATCAGCTAAATTTGGTCTCCCCAGACATCATTCTTTTAGGTTCTTACAAGTCCGGAGTTATGTCCGCAGCATAGATCCAGGATTCCCCAACCTTTCTGGTGGAACACAGTTCGACACATTTCTCACCCCACTTCCTAATCAGAAAGGCACATTGTCAATAATCTATAGTCAAATTTGCTCACTACAAGCCATCTCATTAAACAATATCAAATCCTCTTGGGAGGAGGAACTGGGTGAGGAAATATCTGATGAACTATGGGAAGGGGCACTCAAAAGGGTACATAGCTCTTCTATTTGCGCTCGACACGGCCTCATCCAATGCAAACTCATTCATAGGGCCCACTGGACCAAAGCAAGACTATCAAAAATTTACAAGGATGTGAACCCTAATTGTGTTCGATGTAACCAGTCCCCTGCTAATCATGTGCACATGTTTTGGTGCTGCCCATCTCTTGTTGGTTTCTGGAAAGACATCTTTAACACACTCTCAGAATTAAGCGGCACACAGATCGAGCCAGACCCTCTCATTGCATTATTTGGAGTTTCCTTACCCACAATACAATTGACCAAAATGAATAAGGATGTAATTGCCTTTGTCACGTTGTTAGCGAGACGATTAATTTTACTTAGATGGAAATCCCCTGCAGCCCCTTCTCATGCTCTTTGGATTAAATCTATTTTGAATTGCATAAAGTTGGAGAAAATAAAACAGACACTCAATGGGTCTGTAGACAAATTCTATGCAAAGTGGGCTCCCTTCTTTTCTTATGTTAAAAGAATACATTTCCCTGCAGTTCCAGAGTGATGTGTATTTATATATTGGTGATGAAAGAAGCCTGGGATGTGCATATACGACATCTCGGATGTTAAGGACGGTAATAACTGTGCTAGCTGACCTATAACAACTGGATCAAAACAGATATTTTACCTTTATTTTTATTTTTATTTTTTTTAATTATTGTATTTTTTTTTTATTTTTATTTTTTGTGTTTTATCTTATTTATGTGTTTAATGTCTATTTTTTCTTTCATGTCTGTCTCTCTATGTTTTGCTGTATCGTTGTCTTCAAATTGTTGTTCCATATTCATACCAAATAACATTCAAGTGCAATTATTTACTAAATGCTGGTACTGAAAATTCAATAAACAAAGTATAAAAAAAAAAAAGAAATGATCAGTCTATAATTTTAATGGTAGGTTTATTTGAACAGTGAGAGACAGAATAACAACAAAAGAACGCATGTCAAAAATGTTATAAATTGATTTGCATTTTAATTAGGGAAATAAGTATTTGACCCCCTCTCAATCAGAAAGATTTCTGGCTCCCAGGTTTCTTTTATACAGGTAACGAGCTGCGATTAGGAGCACACTTTTAAAGGGAGTGCTCCTAATCTCAGCTTGTTACCTGTATAAAAGACACCTGTCCACAGAAGCAATCAATCAATCAGATTCCAAACTCTCCACCATGGCCAAGACCAAAGAGCTCTCCAATGATGTCAGGGACAAGATTGTAGACCTACACAAGGCTGGAATGGGCTACAAGACCATCGCCAAGCAGCTTGGTGAGGTGACAACAGTTGGTGCGCTTATTCGCAAATGGAAGAAACACAAAAGAACTGTCAATCTCCCTCGGCCTGGGGCTCCATGCAAGATCTCACCTCGTGGAGTTGCAATGATCATGAGAACGGTGAGGAATCAGCCCAGAACTACACGGGAGGATCTTGTCAATGATCTCAAGGCAGCTGGGACCATAGTCACCAAGAAAAAGGACTGAAATCCTGCAGTGCCCGCAAGGTCCCCCTGCTCAAGAAAGCACATATACAGGCCCGTCTGAAGTTTGCCAATGAACATCTGAATGATTCAGAGGAGAACTGGGTGAAAGTGTTGTGGTCAGATGAGACCAAAATCGAGCTCTTTGGCATCAACTTAACTCGCCGTGTTTGGAGGAGTAGGAATGCTGTCTATGACCCCAAGAACACCATCCCCACCATCAAACATGGAGGTGGAAACATTATGCTTTGGGGGTGTTTTTCTGCTAAGGGGACAGGACAACTTCACTGCATTAAAGGGACGATGGACGGGGCCATGTACCGTCAAATCTTGGGTGAGAACCTCCTTCCCTCAGCCAGGGCATTGAAAACAGGTCGTGGATGGGTATTCCAGCATGACAATGACCCAAAACACACGGCCAAGGCAACAAAGGAGTGGCTCAAGAAGAAGCACATTAAGGTGCTAGAGTGGCCTAGCCAGTCTCCAGACCTTAATCCCATAGAAAATCTGTGCAGGGAGCTGAAGGTTCAAGTTGCCAAACATCACCCTCAAAATCTTAATGACTTGGAGAAGATCTGCAAAGAGTGGGACAAAATCCCTCCTGAGATGTGTGCAAACCTGGTGGCCAACTACAAGAAACGTCTGACCTCTGTGATTGCCAACAAGGGTTTTGCCACCAAGTACTAAGTCATGTTTTGCAGAGGGGTCAAATACTTATTTCCCTCAATTTATAAAATGTTTGACATGCGTTTTTCTGGATTGTTTTGTTGTTATTCAGTCTCTCACTGTTCAAATAAACCTACCATTAAAATGATAGACTGATCATGTCTTTGTCAGTGGGCAAACATACAAAATCAGCAGGGGATCAAATACTTTTTTCCCTCACTGTAAGTAACAGGTGTACACTACGTGAAAATTAGTATGTGTCATTCTCAAAACTTTTGACCACGACTGTAGAGTACAGTACAGGACAGTACAGTAGTTTAACTCAGTAGAGTACAATACAGTACCTGATACTATACTTTACTGTGCTGTACTGTACTCTACTGCAGTGGTTCCCAAACTGTGGGGCGCGCCGGGCACGGGCTTTAAACCTGCAAAATGTTCTCTCCGCCAACAAGAGGGGTGTGAACAGTTTGTGTCATGAACAGTGCTTGCGCCCATAGAAATAGACGTGGCACGTGTGCGCGCAGGGGTGGGTACTGAACTATACTTTACTGTCCAAATAGTGAATCATAGATGTCTATGATTGATTCAGATTTGGTCCGGTCCGGACGTCTTTGGACGTTGAAATCAAGGCCGGTCCAGACCAGACCAAATCTGAACCAATTATAGACGTCTACGTTTGGCTGGAATCAAGGCCCATCTGGCTCAAATCTAAACCAAATATAGACCTCGGTGTCAGTCAATGCTTAGTGGGTTGCAGCTACAACAAGACCAAAAAAAAAACGGCCGATCCGGACAAGACCAAAAAAAGACGTCCAAAAGACATCGCTGCTGGTCCATGCTTAGTGGTTTGCAGCTACAACATATAATGTTCAGAATATGCTGCGGTTATTTTTAGAACACCTGACTTGTGCCCTGAACACCACCCACCTGTAGAATCTTCATAATGTCCATAGATACATTTGTGTGTGTGTATAGTGTTGCCCCCTGGTGCCCGGCGTGTGCCCAGCTGAAGGAGCATTGGGAGAGATTTTCCAGCCTGGCAGCAGCCATGGGGGTTTCTGTAGGAGAAGTGGACGTCACAGAACAGCCTGGTATGGAAATATTATGAAGTTGATCCTGTTGGCTCTTACTGTCCTCAATATTGTCTTCTCCCCGCTGTGTGAGATGTGATGCCATACAGAGTCTCCTTCTAACCACCCATCTCTCCTTTCTCTTGTGTGTGTGTTTTTTTTCTCTCAGGTCTCAGTGGACGGTTTTTGGTTACTACACTGCCAACCATTTTCCAGTTAGTATCTCAGTTAACCTCTGACCCTATCCTTTGATCCATGACCTCTAACCTTTCTAACTCTGTATACAGTATTTATCTGTGTGTGTGTGTATTCTACAGTGTAAAGGAGGGTAGCGTGAGGAGGTATGTGTCTGTCCGTGAGGCGGAGGAGTTCCATGCGTATATATCTAACAGGAGGTGGGAGGAGGTGGAACCACTGCCTTCATGGAAGTCTCCTACTTCTCCTCTGTAAATATACACACCATATATATTATACATAAACATGGAATTATTCATCTTCTCTTCTGTAAATATATACTGACCTTACCTCTGACTTTGTGGATCTCCTCCCTCCAGGATGAGCTGCATGGCCGGACTCTTCAGGCTTTCACTGTGGATCAGGGTGAGACCAAATCTCTCTCTCTCACACACACAGAGAATGGTGTAAAGGATCCACACTCACTCAAAATCGTGTGTGTGTGCATGTAGCGGACTCATGGGTATCTGACGGGGGATTTGGGCATGCCGGTGTGGGGCTCCTACCTCTCATTTGCCATGGCAACACTTGTCACTGGGCTGCTGATGGGACTGGTGAGTTACACACTAATAATACTTTCACCATATTATTGTATTACTACTAAACTATTACTAAACACAAAACACCCAACAGCCCAAAATTCAATTTTTATGTCACACAAATGCTTTTGAATGGTACTGAACATGTTGAGTATGTCATTGTTCTGAGAAAGATGCCAAATCGTCTCTCTCTTACAGCCTACTAGAGTACGTAGACAAACAAACACACACACACACTTCGATGAGTTTCTCTGCAGTGAAATGTGATCTTATGTAAGAGTGGGAGGGTGGCTGCTATTTCAGGACTTGACAGAGGAGACTGGAGAGGCAGCAGGAGGACAGATGTGTGTGTGTGTGGGCTGCACTCAGCTACTCTTGTGTAACCAGCTGCATTCTACTTAAAGTTTGGAACTCAACTCAACTCCTGCCTACACTGACATTAACCTCTTAACTAGTCTAAACTGGCTTCATTCTAAACTAGATTATTAACTACATTTAGTTGGCTTTATTTTAGTTTGACCGTTAACCCTGTCTAACTGCTCTGATCCTGTCTCAACTCTCCCCTCCACTCAACAGAGCTGCTTTCAACTCCTGTCTCTATACCTCATTCTCTGTGTGTGTGTGTGTGTAGGTACTGGTCCTGGTTGCAGATTGCCTCTGTCCTTCCCGACAGAAGCGGAAAGAGGAGAGAGCAGGTGAGAGGATGATTCCACAGAACAAAGCATGCATGCACGCACACACAAACACAGTGTTGTCAGTGCTCTACAGTGTGTGTGTGTGTGTGTGTGTTTGTGTTTGTTTGTTTCGAGCAGGAGTGTGTGTGAGTATGGCGGAGGAGAGGCAAGCGTCAGACGCAGATGAGGTTGAGGGGTCTAACGAGGAGGAGGAGCCAGAGACACTGAGACAGAGGAGAGGACAGGCAACATGCACCTCCTAACCAGGGGTTGGAACCTACATTATTTTCCATTAGTTTTGTTCTGTACAGAACCATTATTTTTTATGTTCCATTCCACTGTTTTCCGACCAGCAAAATAAAGTTCTGAACCGGTTTATATCGTTCCTTTCTGTTCCTTTTTAAACCTCTGAAATTGTAAATTCTTTACATTTAGCTCGACAATAAATGACTTAACCAATCATGCAGTGCAGATAGAGCAGCTTGCTATGGAGCGGGCAAGCTATAGCTCAGTGAGTTGTTTACATGCATAATGGGAAGACAAGTGTAGGGCGTGAGATGCAGCTGAAATTTTGCTGGTTGGGAGAGAGCGAGAGAGGGTGGAGGAGGAAGCTTGGCTTAATGCGCTGGGCATCTTGTGATGACATGCATTATCTGAATTAGGCTCACAGCATTATAGCTACGGAGGATCGGCTTCTGTGGAGGAACTTGAATGTCTTTGAACTTCAGAGATGGCTTAACACGGAACCAGAACTAGCTATAGCTAGCTAACAAGCTTGTGTGTGCAGAGCGGCACCAGAATTAAAAACACATCTTACCTTTTTGTAGTTAATAAATCCAATGTGAAATGTGATAACTATAGTATCCCTAACTAGCATTGAAAAAGTTAATCCATTCTTCTCTAATTAAAAATCTCTTCTGGAAGGTTTCGTCCACTTATCTAATTTCGTCCACTTATCTAATATTGTCCAATATTCTATGATTATCACAATATAAACGTTATTTTCTTCGATTTTAAATAGCTTTCTATTGTTAAAACTGCCATATGCATACATACCGTTTGAGCTAGGTGGTATGATGCGATTATTGATTGATGACTATGATAATGAAGTTGTGGTGAGTGTTGTTGCCATGTGAGGAGGGCCTTCCAACCTTGATAATGGATCATTTAATCACCAAAATAAACATTTTTATACAAAGGCCTCTTTACTGTCTAGTCATGGTTCCCATCTCCTATCTCTGCTATGTGGACAGTGTTATCATATATAAGGGTTGTGGGGTGAAGGGTCAGGGTTGCTTAAATTAGAATGTGTGTGTGTGAGTGTGTGGGAGGCAGGGCTGTGTAAACTTGTGGTTAATGATTGCTGGTGGTCAGATGATCAGAGAGGAGAGAGGAGAGACTCGGGAGTGTGTGTGTGTGTGACAGCAGTCAGAGTGGTCTATGTGTGTGTGGATCAGGTCGTTTTAGAGTTAGTCGGCCTGTATGTGTTATTGTGTGTGTGGATCAAAGTGTGCATTTGTCTGTGTGTGTGTGTAGTCATGTCTGAGAAGTTAGTGTGTGTGGCTGACTATGAGTCTATGGCCAAGAGAGTTCTACCAAAAGCTGTGTTTGACTACTACTGCTCTGGAGCCGACCAGCAAGAGACCTTGGCAGATAACACTGCTGCTTTCTCCAGGTAACTAGCACATACACTAGCCTATGCAGAGACGCCAGAAAACGCTAACATCCGGTCTTCAGGGATACAGTATTTTCGACCTAACTTCCGTTTCCCCTGAAAAACGGAAGTGGGAACTTTTTACGCCTGCAACGTTAAGTTACACATACACACACTGCTGTTTTCTCCAGGTAACATGAACGCGCACATTCTCTCCTGTAACAACTCTTGCAATGGGAAGAATCAAACCAAGTTGTAACATTGCAACCAGACAACAAGGTTTCATACAACACTACTGTAGAATACTGCAGCTCACACACCGTTTACTTAAGATCTGCGTACATTATGTTCTCCCTCACCATCTCATGGAATATGTCAGTGAGGTGAGTTACAGTGAGGGAAATAACTATTTGATCCCCTGCTGATTTTGTACGTTTGCCCACTGACAAAGACAGGATCAGTCTATAATTTTAATGGTAGGTTTATTTGAACAGTGAGAGAGAGAATAACAACAACAAAATCCAGAAAAACGCATGTCAAAAATGTTATAAATTGATTTGCATTTTAATGAGGGAAATAAGTGTTTGACCCCTCTGCAAAACATGACTTAGTACTTGGTGGCAAAACCCTTGTTGGCAATCACAGAGGTCAAGACGTTTCTTGTAGTTGGCCACCAGGTTTGCACACATCTCAGGAGGGATTTTGTTCCACTCCTCTTTGCAGATCTTCTGCAAGTCATTAAGGTTTCGAACCTGACGTTTGGCAACTCAAACCTTCAGCTCCCTTCACAGATTTTCTATGGGATTAAGGTCTGGAGACTGGCTAGGCCACTCCAGGACCTTAATGTGCTTCTTCTTGAGCCACTCCTTTGTTGCCTTGGCCGTGTGTTTTGGGTCATTGTCATGCTGGAATACCCATCCACGACCCATTTTCAATGCCCTGGCTGAGGGAAGGAGGTTCTCACCCAAGATTTGACAGTACATGGCGCCGTCCATCGTCCCTTTGATCTGGTGAAGTTGTCCTGTCCCCTTAGCAGAAAAACACCCCCAAAGCATAATGTTTCCACCTCCATGTTTGACGGTGGGGATGGTGTTCTTGGGGTCATAGGCAGCATTCCTCCTCCTCCAAACACGGCGAGTTGAGTTGATGCCAAATAGCTCGATTTTGGTCTCATCTGACCACAACACTTCCACCCAGTTCTCCTCTGAATCATTCAGATGTTCATTGGCAAACTTCAGACGGGCCTGTATATGTGCTTTCTTGAGCAGGGGGACCTTGCGGGCGCTGCAGGATTTCAGTCCTTCATGGCGTAGTGTGTTACCAATTGTTTTCTTGGTGACTATGGTCCCAGCTGCCTTGAGATCATTGACAAGATCCTCCTGTGTAGTTCTGGGCTGATTCCTCACCATTATCATGATCATTGCAACTCCACAAGGTGAGATCTTGCATGGAGCCCTAGGCCGAGGGAGATTGACAGTTCTTTTGTGTTTCTTCCATTTGAGAATAATCGCACCAACTGTTGTCACCTTCTCACCAAGCTGCTTGGCGATGGTCTTGTAGCCCATTCCAGCCTTATGTAGGTCTACAATCTTGTCCCTGACATCATTGGAGAGCTCTTTGGTCTTGGCCATGGTGGAGAGTTTGGAATCTGATTGATTGCTTCTGTGGACAGGTGTCTTTTATACAGGTAACAAGCTGAGATTAGGAGCACTCCCTTTAAGAGTGTGCTCCTAATCTCAGCTCGTTACCTGTATAAAATACTCCTGGGAACCAGAAATCTTTCTGATTGAGAGGGGGTCAAATACTTATTTCCCTCATTAAAATGCAAATCAATTTATAACATTTTTGACATGCGTTTTTCTGGATTTTGTTGTTGTTATTCTGTCTCTCACTGTTCAAATAAACCTACCATTAAAATTATAGACTGATCCTGTCTTTGTCAGTGGGCAAATGTACAAAATCAGCAGGGGATCAAATACTATTTTCCCTCACTGTAAGTATTTTTTGGGTGTTTCAGTGCTGTTCACTGTTTTTTTTCCAGCTGTTTTAGACAGACAATTTCCTAGAAACCACCACAGTAGTTTAATAATTGACTCACCACCTCACTTCAACTCAAAGTCCTGTTCAACGTCTGACACAGCACTGGCTTACACCAGATTACTTCTCTGTGTGTGCGTGTATAGGTGGCATTTGCTCCCTAGGGTACTGAGGGATGTGTCCAGTGTGGATCTGAGTGTTCGTGTGTTAGGTCAGCGAATCAGCATGCCTGTGTGTGTCGGGGCAACCGCCATGCAGAGGATGGCCCACCCTGACGGAGAGACCGCCACCGCCAGAGGTACACACACACACGGCTGCTTCTAGCCTCTTGTGTATACTGTATGTGTGTAATAAAGCTCCATCTCCCAGCAACTCGAGCGGCGGGGACGGGGATGATGCTGAGTTCCTGGGCCACCTCCACCATAGAGGAAGTGAGGTCATCAGCTGGCAACGGCCTGCTCTGGATGCAGGTGGAGTACCGCTAGATATAGGTTTTGATTACATCACAGTTAACATCACTGGTCTGGTGAACATCTATGACGTATATGTAATCTGTACAGCTGTACATCTATAAGGACCGCGACCTCACCCTGTCATTGGTGCGCCGGGCTGAAGAGGCGGGGTATAAGGCCATCTTTGTTACCGTGGATACGCCCTACCTCGGAAAGAGACGAGATGACGTGCGCAACCGCTTTAAACTTCCCCCTCACCTGAAGTAGGAACCAAAAACACACTCATCACCTCACCATATTTACAGACACACACAAATGCTTCATCAAATAATCTATTGTTTAAACGTACCTCTTATTTTGGTGTTTGTGTTGTGTGCGTGTGTAGGATGACTAACTTTGGTTCGGCAGAGCTGGCGTTCTCCAGTGCTGAGGGTTATGGTGAGGACAGTGGACTGGCTGTGTATGTCGCTCAGGCTATCGACCCTACTCTCTGCTGGGAACACATTGCTTGGCTGAAGAAAAACACACACCTCCCTGTGGTCGTCAAAGGTGTCCTGAGAGGTGACACACAACACACAGTACACACCACATAATGATAAGGCGGGTTTAAGTTTCATGGCAGAGAAGTCGTAACATGTCTATACATCTATATCTCCCCTTCAGCTGAGGATGCGTCAGAAGCACTTAACCACGGTGTAGATGGGATCCTGGTGTCTAACCATGGAGCAAGGCAGCTAGACGGGGTCCCAGCTACAGTGAGGGAGCCCAACACACACACTCTTCAGTAATGTTTCATTTCTTGGCCTGTGACGTGTGTTATGTGTCTGTGTGTAGCTGGATGTGCTGTCTGAGGTGGTGTCAGCAGTAGCAGGGAGGTGTGAGGTGTACCTGGACGGAGGGGTGCGGAGGGGGACAGACGTCCTGAAGGCCTTAGCTCTGGGGGCTACCGCTGTCTTCCTCGGACGACCTGTACTCTGGGGGCTCGCCTGCCAGGTACGACTGTGTGTGTGTGCAAATAATGCCCATTGCAATGACTGTGGGGTTGTTTTACCTACTGCTAAATAACTAAAATGTCAAAACATGTGTTTGCAGGGGGAGCAGGGTGTCAGCGATGTTCTGGAGCTCATGAGAGATGAGCTACACCTGGCGATGGCCCTGGCAGGTAACCATGGTGACCACTATCCATGGCTAATTAACCTACTCTGGCCCCTTCCTCACCTCCTCTCATTGCCTTTCCTCCTTGTCTACTAATTCTCGCCCTCAGTTCAGAGGTAAAGGTTGAACCGTGTGTTTTCTGTCTGCAGGATGTTGTTCGCTGGTGGAGGTTAACAGATCCCTCGTCAGAAGACCTGAATTCACCTCCAGAATCTGAAGAATCTGATACACACACAAATTGAGTTTGAAGTCACCAGCCATGTAACACCTGGATGAATGAATTTAATCAATTAGTCAAGCGTAGTGATTCTCACTGCTTTTCGATCGTTTCCAAAGCACCACGAATCGGATATAAAGTACTCATGACTGTCCGAAATGACAATCGCCACCTGATATAAATTTGAAGCCTCATTAAATAGTTTATTTCCAATTTTACTGGTGTTGGGGTTTTACTAGCCTTGCGCTTCCAAATCTCATCTCCCTGAAGTCTCGGCTTATGAGACTAGGGTTTGACTAACTCTGCTGTATTGACAAAGTCACCAAGCTAGGAGACAGAACTAATAGCAAATTACCAATAGTCAATCTGATAAAACAGCTGCAGTGACTTCAGTAGACCAGCAGGTGTCACCAACACAGCTTTGACACAAACATTTTTGGTACAATTGGTTGTAATGTTGAAAACCTTGGAAAGCTTTGTTTCCACATTACACACGCGCTTAAATTTCCCACCTCACACACTCTTGCAGAATCCTGATCCTCTTTACAGACCATACTAGAAATCTAAACAAGGAGTTGACTTACACACACCGAGAGGCTATCAGAGCAGGTTCATGGTTCAATCACATTATTCACCAGATACAAAACTGTCAATCTGACAGAATGGTTCCCATGGCAATACTGGGTTAATAAACACACGCTCACAAGAGTTCATTTTTGAGTTTTTACACAAGAATGGGTGTGTTCAACTTGAGTCCTCAGGCGGACCGGTGGGTGCATCAAGTGTTTTATGTTGCAACGGTTACTTGGTGTTGCGGAGTTCAGTTGCCATGGTTACTTGGTGCTGTTGAGTACTGCGAGAGTCTTCATGCCGTAGTGATAGTAGCTGTAGCCTGACACAGTCGTCGTTATTGCTGTGATATACCTGCACAAACAGACAGTATTACCAACATGCAGAACAGAAACAAATGTACCATTTAGATTTCCAGTGTGTAGTCTGCAGAAACAGACTGGCTATGGTTTGTGTCTTACCATAGGGTCTGAAGGAGCGGACTGTCTGTGAAGTGAAAGACGGGTGAGGCCAACGATGCTGCTACCAGGAAGAGCTGAATCGCTGTGTTCACCTGCATGCATGCACGTACGCACACAACACACGATTAATTAACCAACTAGACAAATGAACGAGGACTGTTGTTTACTTGTGTATGACGTTGTGCATGGGTGTTTCCCCTATTTTTCTTCCTACATTTTCAGTGGTGGCCACGATTTAGCAGCGGCTGGTGCGCCACTGCTAAATGCATATAGGGGAAACACTGGTGTGTGTGAGGTACAGAGACTTACCTTGCTGAGGGTGGTGGGTTTGAGCTGCGCTGTGGTGTAGCAGGGGTTAAAAAACTTACTGATAGTCACCTGGAGAGCGAGAAGGAAAGAAATTGAGAAGGAAAGATGAAGGAGAGAGGACGAGGAAGATAATTATTATGTAGTATAAACAGAGCAACACCACAGATCTAAAAGTAACACAGTACTGGATACACTCCCATCCATCTCCTTGTTCCTGTATCCTGACCGATGGACCATAGTGTCCGTGACTTACAGGAGGTGGGACAGTCTTGTATCTGACGTAGAAAACTGCAGCAATCAGACCAACGTCTCTGGCAATCACCAACGCTGTTAGGGGAGCTGAGAACACACACACGGTCAGAAGAGCTGGAAGAGCACAAAATCAACTACTAATTCATTGGTTTTCTCATGGTCCTCCCTCTGACGATTGTGTGGACATTGATTGGGATTATTAGCACCATAAGATTTATTTGAATATTGCAGCAAGGAAGGACTTATATTTCAACACACACCCGCAACACTTACAGACCTGGGATGAGCTGAGCGTAGGTGAGACTGATGTAGAGAACGCTGATGAGGATCTTATCAGCCAATGGGTCGAGAGCACTGCCCAACGCAGACTTCTGACTGGCCCAGTTGCGGGCTATATAACCATCCAGCTACAGAGACAACACTCAGGGTTACCAGAGGGTGTAGTGTAGTGTAGTATAGTGGTGGTGGTGTGTGGTTATTGTTTTTACTTAAAATCAAAGTATTTACAAGGTGAGTGTGCAGGCAGGCGTGCATACCACGTCAGTAAATCCAGCCAAAGCGAACAGTCCCAGAGAGAGGTGAAAATGTTGCTCAGTGATCAGAACTCCCAGGACTGGAGCCAGTGCGATGCGACACACACACAGCAGGTTGGGGATGGTCCACGGATTCTCATACTGGAAGACAAACAGACGTTTTTTTTTTTTTCATTTAGCAGACGCAGAGCGACTTACAGTTAGTGAGTGCATACATTTTTCATACTGGCCCCCCGTGGGAATCGAACCCACAACCCTGGCGTTGCAAGCGCCATGCTCTACTAACTGAGCTACATGAGGCCTAAAGAGCTAAAGTTAGAGAACATGTTTACAAATATTCAGTGCAGGACTGTGCATTGTTGATCTGACTAGAGAATGTGTGGTTCGGTCTGCCTTTATTCATGTCATGACAGGACAAAAGTGAGAGCATGGGAAACCAACCCTAAAAGTAGACTCAGCAATATGGCATCATTTAGCCTACAACGGGGCAACTTCTTCCTCACAGACAGACATCAACAACAATGAATCTGCCAAGACTACTACTTGTCTTACCACACACCCACAACACTTACCAATTCTTTAAACTTGAACAGCCCTTGGCCAGGATCGGGTGGTCTGTCAGCTGGCTGGGTGGTTTCCTTCAGATCCTCTCCAGGTGTGCTGTCGGCTCCAGGTGTGCTGTCCCGGGGTTTTCCACTACATTGACCTCTCCAGCCTAGAGGTGCACCAAACCTCACCGGGCACAACCTCAGCCCCAGGAGGACATGAGAGGGCGAGAAGGAGGGGTGCTTCGGATAAAAACGAATGCTGGTTTCGTTACCCTGCATCCTCTCGTGAACTCTCCGGCGACAGTATCGGGTGACGCTTTCGGTGGGACCCTTCAGCGCGTGGCCGGTAACCTCTGGGGTCGATAGGATTGGGATATTCGTGTCCTGTGGGGTGTGTGTGTCAGATTGTGTGTAGCTGGACCACTGGGCGACAGAGAATATTCTGTTTTTGAGTCTTTGCAGCCACTTCAGCTCTGCCCTCACACACACACCTGTCTGCTGCCGCCATGACGCAGTTGACCGAAACACACTTCTCATCGCACAGCGCGTTACATTAACTAGGTGCCCTCGCGCACACACCGCGAAGTTATTTTTACAAACCGACAAGAAAAGCATCGCAAACCGCGAACAAGACGCGACTTACAAACTAACCTAATCTACCTCTTCACACATATCCTGCTGTTTATAACACCCTCTTACCGGTTCATATTTTTCCCGTTTCCTTATTATCCAACCAGCAACTCTAGCCGATCAATCCGACGTGGTCCATGTTTTCTGCCGTATTCCGCGAGTTTTACGACGACGTCGTGTTGGTGGATGTCGCTTCAAAAAACAGTTAACTAGCTGTGATAGTTTGGGTTACTAAAATCCGAGTATGCAGGACGTGTAACCAGCTAGCTAGAGGTAAAAGAGCTTGATGGTTCAGAATGCATCATATGCTACCCTGCCTCCTTTTCTGTGCAAAGGTTAACTATTTCACGCCTGCGCACTCAGCGAAATCCTTGAACCAAAGACACTTGTGCCACAGCTGAACAAACAGCGCCACACAGTGGCCTCTCTGCGCAGCTGCAAAGAGTCCTGTTCCTAATATTTTCAACATCTACTTTATTTTACTAAAATGTTCGTAATATTTGTAGCTGATTTATTTTACCACACACAGTCTCGAGTATACAGGTACATTAATGTCATAAGTGTACAAGCATGTCAAATATGACCCACGTAGCACAAAACGTTCCTGGAACCTAAACCAACGTTGGACTTCGGTTGGGAAAGGTTGTATATTGGTGTTGCAAAAACAAACGTTGTAACAACGTTCTCTCAACATTCCTAAATAAACTTATAAGAATAAATGTATTTGAAACATATTCCAACGTTGCCAATACATTTGAGTCATTTAGAAGACGCTGTTATCCAGAGCGACTTACAGTTAGTGAGTGCATACATTATTTTTTATTTTTCATACTGGCCCCCCATGGGAATCGAACACACAACCCTGGCGTTGCAAACGCCATGCTCTACCAACTGAGCTACATCCCTGCCGGCCATTCCCTCCCCTACCCTGGACCAATTGTGCGCCGCCAATAGGTTGAGATTTGGTACTGTTTGACAGGTATGAAAGGGAACTCTTGGTCAACGTTTCTAAATGTTGTCAGGAGGTTCAAAATGAACGTTTTAAAATAAATGTATTTGAAACCTATTCCAACGTAGCTAATAGGTTGGGATTTGGTACTGTTTGACACGTACGAGAAGGAACTATTGGCCAACGTTTATAAACGTTGTCAGTAGGTTTAAAAATGAACTTTTGCTTGCACTCCCATTGGCATAGAAACACACAGTTCCATCAACTTGTTTGCGGAATGCCGACATGCGCGCAGATAAGACGCTCTTTTCTAACTCACTTAAGTGAATTCACTGCAGTAACGTCGTCGGGTCACTTGGTAATTTTTATATGTAATAACATGTAACATTAGCTTTTAATTATGTAATCAGTGTTGATGTTAGATGATTAAACAACTGAATGCCTGGAGTTAGCTAGCTAACATTAAGTTAAGTAAGTTAACGTTTTAGTACAAGGTAACGTTAGCTTACCTAACTCAGTTGACTCTGTGGTGTCCGAGACAACGATGTTGATTTATGCTGTGATGATAAGAATTCCGCTGACGCTGTACTTTGATTATAAAGGTTTATTGTATCAAAGAATTCCAGCGTCAATTTACAGACATCTGCAGATATCTGGAGAATAACCGGACCCAAATCTCTGCTATGTTATTCCTCCCCGTCCTTTGTTCAAAACATGGTATTTATATCCTATGTAACATAAGATGGGTGGTTTTTGACAGACCAATCCCCGGGTTCCACATATCTCCAAATGTCCTCTATTCCAAGAAGCCTATGTAGTAATGCTTTCCAGATGTTTCAGCAAAGCAGAGTAGAGTTCATCCATTACACCATTTGCAAATGTCAGCAAAATCATAGACTCTCAGACACTATAACTCCCTTACTGTAACGTTAGCTAAGTTGACTAACGTTAGAGTAAACTAGGCTTATTAACACAAGCTTTACCGTTCTGCTAGTTAACCAGCCAGCTGACCAGCCGTAACCTTACGTTACCCCCTTGCCTTGTGTTCTTCGGATCATCATTCTCCTTTTGCCAAGTAAGTTACTACTGCTTCGGATTCCTCAAACCAAGCCCCGGGTGTGTTCGCTGACACTGACACAAATGTTCCAATGTAACTTAGATCAAGTTACCTTGCGTTGAAACATGGCAATCTATGTTTTCTGTCTACAGTTACAGCTTGCCAACCAGCCAGTCAACGAACCAGCTGTAACCCTTGGTAACTTACTATTCGTAAGTCTTCCTCCTCCTCCAGCCAGCTAACGTAAGGCGATTGATTAACTAAATTAGTGAAATTAATTAACCCACCCAATTACTCAACTAAGCACCCATAGCCACTGTGTATATATATATCAATGACACGACCAATACATTCATTTCAGGATATAATGGATAGAGCATGGTGAAGGCCTTCCCAGTAAACTATATGCATCAGGCTTGTCTGGGTGTCACAAAGAAGTTGATTCTGACTTGGATGCATGGAAAGAGGGAAACAAGAATGTCTAGGGGTCCTATTGCAAATATCAGTACCTGCATGTTGGAGCTGAAACCGGCAGTGCCCAACATCTTTGCTCGTAAGCCTAGGAGTCTAGATGAAATCGAAAGATGGAAAGCCACTGAATTCCGCCAATTCATGCTGTACAGTCGTGGTCAAAAGTTGAGAATGACACAAGTATTGGTCTTCACAAAGTTTGCTGCTTCAGTGTTTTTAGATATTTGTCAGATGTTACTATGATATACTGAAGTATAATTACAAGCATTCCATAAGTGTCAAAGGCTTTTTTTGAAAATTACATTAAGTTTATGCAAAGAGTCAATATTTGCAGTGTTGACCCTTCTTTTTCAAGACTTCTGCAATCCGCCCTGGCATGCTGTCAATTAACTTCTGGGCCACATCATGACTGATGGCAGCCCATTCTTGCATAATCAATGCTTGGAGTTTGTCAGAATTTGTGGGTTTTGGTTTGTCTACCCGCCTCTTGAGGATTGACCACAAGTTCTCAATGGGATTAAAGTCTGGGGAGTTTCCTGGCCATGGACCCAAAATGTCAATGTTTTGTTCCCTGAGCCACTTAGTTATCACTTTTGCCTTACGGCAAGATGCTCCATCATGCTGGAAAAGGCATTGTTCGTCACCAAACTGTTCTTGGATGGTTGGGAGAAGTTGCTCTCGGAGGATGTGTTGGTACCATTCTTTATTCATGGCTGTGTTCTTAGGCAAAATTGTGAGTGAGCCCACTCCCTTGGCTGAGAAGCAACCCCACACATGAATGGTCTCAGGATGCTTTACTGTTGGCATGACACAGGACTGATGGTAGCGCTCACCTTGTCTTCTCCGGACAAGCTCTTTTCCAGATGCTCCAAACAATCGGAAAGGGGATTCATCAGAGAAAATGACTTTAGCCCAGTCCTCAGCTGTCCAATCCCTGTACCTTTTGCAGAATATCAGTCTGTCCCTGATGTTTTTCCTGGAGAGAAGTGGCTTCCTCGCTGCCCTTCTTGACACCAGGCCATCCTCCAAAAGTCTTTGCCTCAATGTGCGTGCAGATGCACTCACACCTGCCTGCTGCCATTCCTGAGCAAGCTCTGCACTGGTGGTGCCCCGATCCCGCAGCTGATTCAACTTTCACAACAATTGAACCTCTCTCCTAGAAGTACTTGATGATCCGATAAATGGTTGATTTAGGTCCAATCTTACTAGCAGCAATATCCTTGCCCGTGAAGCCCTTTTTGTGCAAGCAATGATGACCCCTTCACTTTTTCTACATTTTTAAGTTACAGCCTTATTCTAAAATGGATTAAATACATTTTCTTTCCTCAATCTACACACAATACCCCATAAAAATATTTGACTTTTTTTTTTCTTTTTTGGGGGGGTCGGGGGGGGGGGGGGGTGGATCAGCTTAATATTGCAGATATATTGTATCTTCTATCAATGTAATTGTCTGCATCACTTCCAATCCCCCATGTTTTTTATATATATACTCCCCTTTATTACTTTTCAACCCCGCCATCCTTTCCCTACTTGGAGTAAATTAGTGAACAACAATGCCCAGGCCTCTACTTCCGGTCTATACTTACTATCTACACCTTATGGACAGAGTTAATTTTACAATAATTCTATTATATATATATATTAATTTTTGCTCCTGAACTTCTTCTACTCTCAACCTCTCCGATCATTTTCATGATGTCCATCCGGTTTGCTTCTATATGCCATATCTTTCTAACTGTGCTCTTTCCCAAAAGCTCCCAACATACAACCTATATACTTATTATGGACACAGTATGCTTACATTATTAGCTATCTTTGTTATTATTTGTTGTTATTTGTTATTAGTCCCATCCTTCAACTCTATTCAATACCTCCCATCTATCTCTTAACACCATCCATATAGAATTTCTATTTGCCATATATATTTCAACCGTTCTGTGATGTTTTACAAAAGTTCTGAACCTTTCTATTCTCATTGCTTCTACAGATTGTGAATTAAAAATAAACATTTTTGTTAAAAGTATTATTATATTATTGATTGATTGACTATGACTTTTCAGATCACCCAGTAATGCTATCTGCAAGGTTAGCTCCAGGTAAATATTGCAATCCTTTAGCCATTCCTGGACCTGTGTCCAAAAACAAGCTACAAATGGACAGAACCAAAACAAATGATCTAATGATTCTGTCTCTTCACAGCAAAATCTGCAGAGGTGGGAAGATTGTATCCCCCATATAAATAACATTCTATTGGTAGCAAGAATTTTGTATAATAATTTAAATGGAAAGATTCTAATTTTTGAATCCGGTGTCGTTTTGCGTGTTAGTTCATAAACACTATGCCATGGGATCGGTACGTCAAAGATCTCTTCCCAACTATTTTGCAATCTATATGGGACGGCTGTCAATCCTTTGGTCCTTAAGTGAAACTGATATACTTTTGTATTTATCACAGTTTTCCTTAACCAATTATATTATTTAATGCAAGGCCGACAGACAAGTTCC